TCTTATACACATCTAGATGTGTATAAGAGACAGGGAGTAGGCTCCGTTGACGTTATCGTCATGAGACGATTAGACAGCATGATCCTGGTCTTGAAAACCGCCCAAATTCGTGCTCTTTAGCACCAGTGTATAACTGCTGGCCCTTAGTCACAGCTCGCTGTGTCATTTCCCTCACATACCAAACCTATCGTACTGATCGTTCCCGCGCTTTCTCAACGAGCTTGACGCCACGCTCACACAGAGTCACACTAGGACTTTTTTCACTGATTCCTGGACGTAATCGCGGTCAGATTCATCCCAATAGGGCCGTAATTAAGGTCAGATACATCAAAGTAGGGTTGTAATTAAGGACTCGGCGATTTGCCACCGTTTAGCAAAGCGAGGGGTCACCCTTGTCGGTGGGTGGGGTATGTGGAATTTATGTGACCGAATTACACCGCAAAGTTTGACGGCAGGCGGAGTCGTGTGACAGAAATTTACCCCAGAAAATCATTTTTGGGGTAAACAAGGGTTTACCGGATCAAGCTTGGTTACAGTATAACCTCGCCCTAGATCGGCAACTTGCAATTCCACCCCCCTAGATAGTCGTGTGATAGTAATTTACCCCAGAAAATCATTTCTGGGTGTAAAGAAGGGTTTATAGAATCAAGCTAGGTTCATATATAACCTCTTTTTCTTTCTTTTTTTTTTCAAACAAATGCTCCCCTCAGTAAAACCTTGCCCTAGCGAGAGGACCTACATCAGACGTGATGTTTTTTTTTTTAACTTCCTGAGCCAAAAAAAAAAAAAAAAAAGAGATCGGAAAGCACAGAACATCCTAGAACTTCATTACGAAGTTTCTATGCGGAAACAAAAAGACTGGAGGGGGAAAAAAAAACTTCAGCAAAGTCTGTCAAGCTTAACACACACACACACACACAAAAAAAAAAAACAAACATACTGACCATGGCAAGAGTCAATTCGACGGGCAGTCCGCACAAGTGCTCCTGTACGTAGTAAGGACGCGTCGCCAACAGTTGTGGAAACCACCATCCCAAGACAGACAACCAACATGAAATCGTGAGCCCTCCTCAACTGTCGGTATCATCTTCTCCATTCCTTTTTTCCAAATTATTCCTTTGACAATTTAAAATTTTCTCTATCGAGAATGGAAAGCGACAGATTCAAAAAAAAAAAAAAAGCGCGAATTCATTCACGACCGATTTAAATGCTGCACCCATTCATATTCCAATGTAAACAATTAACCTCGTCCAAGCTTACGGGACTTGAATCCACCCACGACTTCAGGCAGGCATCTGAGGACTCTCTCGTTCCAGAGTAGCNCTCTCTCTCTCTCTCTCTCTCCATGTATAATTCAATTCCAACAAAGCTCATTAGTAGACACATACATGCAGTTATTGACATCAGTGGCTTTTAGCTCCTATTCATTCTCGAACATGCTCGTCGGAAGAAAAAACAAAAAAAAGGGGGCAACTACGTGGGAGTCAAAAAAAGAGTATGAAAACACACTTTGGGCAAAAAAAAAAAAGAGTTTCAAATTGCACTTTGGGCAATGTACACAAGCTAGATTTCCGGTCAGGTTGGGTTACGTGGGGTTGTGCTGTGTTTAAGGGAAAGCCCAAAGAGTAATTTCGAACTGTTTTTGTGGCTGTACTGGAGTTACCCCCTTCCAAAAAAAAAGGCATAACACATCACCAAGGTCCGTCCACAAAGAGCCGACAAAAGCGACAAAAACGACGTTTTTTTTTTCACCGCAAAAATACACATCAGTGAATCAACGGTAATTCCATCAATGCATCAATCAATCAACGGTCGAGAATCAACGGACGGCGGAGAATCATTACCTCCCGCCATAGCGGCACTGGTTGTAGCTTTGCGTTGTACGTGTGAACAGCTGAGCCATTGGGACCCGGCGCTCCGACGAAGACGAGAGTAGGCAAGGTGGCCATCATCATCATCAACGAATGAGAGGCTGGAGATGGCGTGTTGCTCGTTGCCCCTCCTGCAGCTGATCCCGGATGCGGCGGAGGAGGAACATGTTCCCCACCTGGACCCGCACAACCCGGCTGAAGTAATCCGAAGATATCCATCTGTACAAATTTTACAAAACCAACAAAAAATGAAGCACAACCACCACCCAACAGGTGGAATTTAGTCTTCATCACAGGACCAACTAACAGCTGTCAGCTGCATGAACACTACAACCAATCGATCCATCGATCACTCAATCAATCAATCAATCAATGGATTAAACGGTGTTGAAATACGTATGTATGTCTTCCATTTGATGCCGATGATATCTTTTTTATTCATCACCAGGTCGCCGCACATCCCGAAGCCATACCGTAGAGTGAAGAGCGGGTCCCAGCAGATCCAAAAGATCGCGGTATTGGACGAAAGTTAGGCGAAAGTCACCCCTGGCAGACAGAGAGACAGAGGTGGCTAAGAAAAATGGGAGGGTGGCAGTGAGAAAGTCAGACGAAAGTTTAGATAGACAGACAAAGAGACAGCAAAATCGAACACCGAGACAGACAGACAAAAACATCACACTTTCCGCCGACGTAAAGGGACAACAGAAAACGATTATCACGAGCTCAGAGAGAGACAGAGAGAGACAGAGAGTGACAGAGAGAGACAGAGAGAAAGAGAGAAAGAGAGAAAGAGAGAAAGAGCCTTTCCGCCGACTTAAAAGGACAACAGAAAACGATTATCGCGAGCTCAGAGAGAGACAGAGAGAGAAAGAGAGAAAGAGAGAAAGAGAGAAAGAGAGAGAAAGAGAGAAAGAGAAAGAGAGAAAGAGAGAAAGAGAGGTCGGAGCTAGGGCTTGAACAAGATCTGGCAAAGATCACGCCTTCCCAACAGAAAGAAGGATCGGGCATCGCGAACTGAAAACCAAACCCTCCACAAGGCGCATTGGAATAAGACAAGAGAATGGACCAGGTGCATGCTTGTTCTAAGACAAAACTATACCTCGCATTCGCCTTCCTCGACGCCGTTGATCAATAGTCTGACGCGATTGCGCTCCATCTCGCATCCTGTGAGCAACGGAAATATACTTTACATCATCAATAACTATCACTTATTCAACTTCCTCTCTCTCTCTCTCTCTCTCTCTCTCTCTCTCTCTCTCTCTCTCTCTCTCTCTCTCTCTCTCTCTTTTCTCTCTCTCTCTCTGTGCATGTGTAAACACATCCATGTATAAACCTGTCCTTCCACTAAGAGAGTAATTCCCTTGGAGAAGAGCAAGTACAACTTTTTCATTTGATCGTAATACGATTGTTATGTGAATAGCGCAGTCTGCCTTGCCTCGTTTCCGCATCTGCGCTATTGAACCGAGTCGTCTTTGATTGGGCATTATTGTAGAACTTACGGTAATAATAGAATCACAAAACAAAATTCAAATAGCCAAACAAGGAGCACAACGAGACAACCAGCTCTCGTTTCTCTTTGATGTTCTCAAGCCCGTTTCTCTTTTACGGTCTAACAATTGTATGAACATCTCCATCAGAACGAATCAAGAGTGTTTTTTTTTTTTTTTTTTTTCCCTTCTCCCCGTTTTTTTTCGAAAGAAAACTCATTTCGCAAGCACTCATTTGCCCCCTCCCTCACCCTTATTTGAAAAGAAGACAGCCCTGTCAGTCCTGTCACCCTTATTTCAATTCTGTCACCCTTATTTCAATGCTGTCACCCTTATTTCAATGCTGTCACCCTTATTTGAAAAGAAGACAGCCCTGTAAGTGCTGTCACCCTTATTTCAATGCTGTCACCCTCATTTCAAAAAGTATAGACGCCAGAGCAAGCCAAGCCAAGCCAAGACAACACACGGGAAAATCGAGCGAGCAACCCGCTCCTGATCGTCTTCACCTGAAGAGAACGCCCGGTCATTACGGCTGCATTTAGACGGAATGTTGCTCCCAATACGGCTTTAATGACCGGGCGTTGTATTCGGCTGAAGACGGCAGCAGACGTTTGGATGTAAAACACAACCAACGTGACAGAAGAAACCTTAGCGACTGCGGAGGCGAAAGAGAAGATTTGCGTCTCTCCTTCGTTACCTATATGTGTCCACTTTTGCAGCGTGATATGACACTTGGATGTGCACGTCTCCTTTCCCCTCCCAAGCGCATTCAGCACGATCCGATGGTCCACATCGAAGGACAAAAACGGGATGTTCCGATCTGCAACCCAGCGTATCAAGACAACAGTTAGCAAGATAGAGCGACCGCACCTGTCAAATCATCAGGGCACAGCAATCAATCAATAACAACTCCTTTGAGCAGTCGGCGGTGAGTGCCCACTGCCCACGCAAGCAGCAACAAATCAACCGTGCAAACGATCGCACCAACTGATCGGTAGATCGACTACTACTTATGTGATTCCATCGATCTTCCGATCAGTCAATTGTTACTAATTACAATAAAACACACCCGACCAAGAGAACGACCAAGCAGCAAGCGAGAGTGCGAGAGAGAGAGTGAGAGAGAGAGAGAGAGAGAGAATGGGTGGGAACGTGGCAGATAATGAAGACTTGAATGCGGCTGCAAGGTCGCATTCTAGTCTACTGACCGCCATATAGCCTGGACTGTCCTATTATCGGTTTCAGCCGCATTCTCGTCTTCATCGTCAGACATGTTCTTGAAGCCTCAGCTGCTAATCTTGGACAATTACTGTAACACGTTCCTTGCGTGCCGAAGAGCATTACGGGAGTATTAGGATCGTTCAGAACGGCACAAAAAAGTTGCGCTGAAGTTGAGGCATATGACGAAAATGTGGGGATCTGGAACCCTCAGATTCTATATTCTTGGAAAATTCACACGTTCCTTGCCACGTCCGAAGAGCATTAATGTACCATTATGTTCATTATTCCTGTTTCCGTCGCTGTTCTATCACTCTTCATGCGGAGAGGGTTATGCCCTGAGAGTGTGTATCAACGCTTGTACGAGAAATAGTCTATGGCCACTGGTCTTTTCACTAATCCCCTTGAGCCGGAAGGCGAGATATTGGGAGAAGCACCCTGAGGAGTGCCAGGACCGCGGGGAATTTGCGCGTTTCAACTGAGAACTGTACATATGCGTAGAAGAAACGATTTTTTTCATCGATGCCTCCACGAGCAGCAGCAGTCTTTGCCCACTGTTTTTTCACTACTTTTTCTTCCTTCGTCAATATCTTGTTTGCTCTGGGTGGCGTGGCACGGTGGATGCGGGAGAGTGGTTGCCCCTTGATAAGCCTGGTGCGCAGCCAGGCGAAATGCGTCGAGGAATGTGCGCGTGGAGCTGACGGTCCGTGCAGGAACTGCAATGAACATCGTTGAGACATGGACGCACAGCGATTGGCCTTGCTGTTTCATTTCATTTCATTTCTTCAATATCTTCCTCTTGCGCGAAAAGAAATTCTCGATCCCCAGAATCTTACTCATTTTAGACGTCACGCAGACTTATCCGCTTGCGCCAGAAGAAAAAAATTTAGTCTCGTATTAGCTATAGGTGCACATCCGATCGGACACCTCGCTCCTACACGCCATAGCCATTACCAACGCCACGGTTATATGGCTGTGTACCTAAAACTGCAGCCAAAACYAAATTCGTATCGTACTATGCCTAGACGAATTGCGCGATGAACAACGTACCTCACCACAGGATGGCTATAGCAAATCACAGGATAGCTATGGCCGACGACAGGATGGCTATGGCCGACGACAGGATGGCTATGGCCGATGACAGGATGGCTATGGCGGCCGACATTAGGAACTTAACTACGGAATGGAACCAAGCACCTCCCTTTTCAAATCACACACAAAGACTCCACAGGAAAGCAGACGGCAACGCCATAGCCATCCTGTCGTCGGCCATAGCCATCCTGTGTGATTTGAAAAGGGAGGTGCTTTCCGGATATAGACAGAATGACAAGAGAGGCTGATCGGAGCAGCGAAAAGCAAATGCGGAAGCGCTTGATGATTAGCAGCGACGGCAACGGCAGAACTCACGCGCACGCTGAGTTGCAAAAAAAAAACATCCATCAATCCACCCACCCTCACCACGTAGATCATCATCCATCGCCGCTTCTGTGCCAGCCATTCTCGGATACGTCAACGGAAGAAAAAAAAAAAAAAAAAAAAAAAACGGAGCCCACGTGGCACACTTTAACGAATCTACTGCAACTCCGCTCTGAGCGGACAACCGATTCATCGCAGTTCCGTTAAGGATAAACAAAGGAAGGGACGAAAAACTGACAAAGAAAGGAACGAACACAACAGAGCAGAAAGCTTCCAAAAAAAAAAAAAAAAAGGAGCAAAAAGCAAAAGAAAAGAACGAAGTGCAGCCAATTCAACAGCTCTACGGAGATCTCACGCAGCAGCACTGGCCCTACCGACGACCAGTTTAACGTCCTGCTTGTTGGAACGGAGCAAGAGAGGTGATGATGGGACCGACCGCTCTCCTCCTCAAGCTCGCGTTCGACAATCTCAATCAAATGACCAAGGGCAACCTGATCGTCTCACGAACACGTGGTATGGATCGCAACCTCAACATCGCCTTTCTTCAACTAATTGCGTTGCCCCCCATCGCATGAATAACGAGAGTTGATTGGCATCCCACTACATCCTCCATCGATTATGCATCTGTTTGTGTTGTATTTGCTTGCTTGCTTGATTGATTGATTGGTTGATTGATTGATTGATTGATTGATCGATTGACTGATTGATTGATTCATTGATTGATCCCAATACATCATCCGTCGATTACGCATCTGTTTGTTTGCTTGATCGATGGATGGATGGATGGATGGATGGATGGATGGATTGATGGATGGATTGATTGATTGATTGATTGATTGATTGATTGATTGATTGATCTACTGATTGATCGACTGCCGACTTCTTGTTTGTTTTCATGCTCGTTCCCATACACCGTCCCTGTTCTCCATCATCTAATGTTTTTTTTTTTTTTTTTTCCACGGCTAGGAGGACGTCCAGTTGGCTGCTTGATTTACTGTGGTTAATCCATTTACTTCTTTTGGCGCAGTAAGTAGCTCTACAATTTTCGCCGTCTCGGTTTGGGCAACGAGAACCCAGAGCAACTGCCCAGACCACGCAGCAAGTAGCGTGGCCAGGCGTTGCTCGGTTCGCTAACCACGTCAGGGCTAATAAGAACATGGCATATAATTCATCGAGGCTTCAATCAGGCAACAGCGTTGAAGTTCGGACGCGTTGCACCAAGAAATTACTGAACCCTCTTTCTAGTTGGGGTCTCCACCCCCTCCGATCCTATCCCGCTGGTCCCTACTTCGTTCGGCAAAATCGTTTGGAAAGGACCTCGTTACTGAGGAGAGCTTGTGCGAAACTAGCCGTTGAGCTTTTACTCGTGGCCACCGGCAGCCATCGAGCACGACCTCCCCTCCCCTCCCCTCCCCTCCCCTCCCCTCCCCCACCCTACCGTTAGCTACTGCTTCCTCGGCTGTTTGTGGTTCGCGCAATTTCCATTCTTGTCTTTCTTTACAGATAGAGAGCCGTTGTGAGAGCCTTTCTCTCTCTCAGGCAAACGGATCCAAACCAAAGGCAACCGACAGCTTCACCTTTTTTTTTTTTTTTTTTTTTTTTTTTTTTTTTTTTTTTTCTTTTTTTTTTTTTTTTTCCCAACACCCCCCCCTTTTACACCACCCCTTTTTTTTATAACTACAACGGCCCCGTCTTTTTTTTTTTTTTTTTTTTTTTTTAATCTTGTGA